TAAGTTAAAAGAAAAACTAGAGCAAAGAGAGACAACGAGAACAGAGTTATGACAACTTTTATGTTTGTTTTTATTCACACACACATCCCACAGTTGCAAATAAAAACTTTAAACTGATTTATCTCAGAAAGAAAAAATAACTAGTTTATCTTCATTTGAAATACTAATGTCTTTTAGCTATTGTGCTAAAGCACTATTCTCTCTATTGCTTTTAATACATATAACAAAAGTTCGTAGGCATTTTTGAATCAAACCAATACTTTTTTTTAAAAAATAGTTCAACTTAGAATTTATACGTTTTTAAAAAATTTTCAAAACGCATTCACAAAAAAAAGTTTATGAATATCAATCAGGTTATCATAAAACTCATACCAACTTTTGCAATACATAGCTTGAAGTACTTGTAAATCTAATTTCATGTGGATATGTCAATTATTGTAGAAGTAGCACTTTAAAATCACATCATGAATTTTTAAATTTTTCCTTAAAAAATTAAATGATTAGCTTTTTGAGGTACTTTGAACACAAAAACTGTTTTACATAATGCATATACTTGGGAGGCAAACAAAAAATTGAGAAAACCATTAAATCAAATGTTTTTTTTTTTTATAAATGGTACCATGTCCCCTTACATATTAAAAATATTTATAAGTTAAACTCCCCAAAATAATAACAACTAGATAGCAAATATATAATAATTATTCATTAGCAAGCAATTTTTATTTACTTTTAATGAAATCATTTTCCTTGTAAGAAGAAATGATTATATTAGACTCTAAGAGGATTAAGTTAAATGAAAAAAATAATAATATATGTAGTAAAGGGTGTTCCCCCTTCCTTCTTATTTGCATTGCTAGTTTAAATGAAATTTGTCAATCAATAAAATATATAATTCCTACTCTAAATATTTACATTTTAATCAGCATCAACAAAAGAAAACTTAAAATTACCTGTACGCAACTTTAGCCATAGTAGAAACAAAGCCTATAATATCACCTGGAAGAACTTCAGGCTGTATCAGTAAGAGTAACATATTGATGTCCTGTTTCAACAGTAATTTGGACAATGTGTATTATTTCAAATTCTAACACTTTATTTAATCTATGATGAGGACATTTAGCAATTTTATTGACTGTGCATGTCATTAACTGTGCACAAAATGCTTCCTCTTTACTACAGGTGCGATATCTCTGATTACTGGACAAATCGTTCCTTCAGGACATCGCTTCCTAAGAACCTAAAATTAAATAATATATGATAGGTTAAAAAGAATATTAAAAGTATGTAATTTTTTTTTACAATTTTTTCAACAAAAAGAGGAAGTATTTTTGAAATATGTTGTCAAATTTCCTTTATTTTTATCATTTGATGACAATAATAAACATATCTACATTTATATATTTTTTAAAATTCACTAAATATTCTCATAGAAATGTAAAGAATGAATAGTACAAAATTTTTTCCTAGAGGGTAAAATTATTGTGATGATATTTTTATGTGCACATTTTACTTTAAAATCTCATAAAAATATCAAAGTAGCTTTCATATTTACATTTATAAAATACTCTTTCTCTCATGCAATTAAAAAAAGTTTTTTAAAGTAACGTACTTTTATAATTTAAGAAAATATGTATTAAATTCATAAAATAAAATATCAAGATTGATGTTATGTGCCAAAAAAAAAGAAGTTAACAATTTTTCTCCTTAATTACAGCTCAAAATAGTATTTTGTTTATGAATATTGTGAAAAGATTTATTTTCTTTAAACATTCTTATAAATGAATTTAAACAAGAAACATTAGCTGATTCTCAGAAGGGAAAGAATCTTAGAACTAACAATAAATAGATTATTATCATATTCATAAGTCATAATAAATTAACTCTTTTAGAAGAATTTAAAAATATCCATCCATAACTCAAACTTTACATATCACCATAACATGTATTTAGTTAGAAGCTGGAAAATAATAGAACTAACAATTTGAACAAGTCAAAACTTTAGCCTTTTTTTCTAATTAAAATCTTGTTTTTTCTTTTATAAACAGAACAAATGTTTCTAAAAATTGTAGTATAAATATAAATTTATTAAATTATTTTTAAATAGACAAAAGAAATCTACCATCACTGCCATGGCTCCAGATTCTAACGCCCATAGTTGCACAGCAGACAACCGTCCCCTCGTATTAACAGGTTCATGCTGAGGAATTACTAGCATGTAGCCAGATTCTTTAGGTGCCATATCAGGAGTTTCATGCTGAGGTATCAGAGGTCCAAGTGCTTGAACATTGGTGTCTGAAATTAAATAAAATTGTCTTTAAAACCAAAGGTTCCGTATTTTTAGTCTAATTTGTTTACATTGAATAATATGAACAACTTAAATAAAAATCATTATTTTCCTATAAACCAAACAAATTTTGCTATTAAAAAGTAAAATAAATAGTCATGTAATAATAATTATTGATAATGTATTAACATAAATTCATACCATAAAAATCACTGTTTTCAGTAATTATCACAAACAAATTATGCACGCAATTGTTTTGGGTAAAGAAAAAATAAGTAACAAGGGGAGGTCACGACTACGGAAATTCATTTGGGGACTAGATTTTGTGTAATTGTAGTACTCCTTTAGGTTGTTCAACCCTCAATGTAATAATGCCAAATGAGCAGTCAATTCAGAGAAAATAGCCTTCGAAATTCAAACTTAGCTTTTATATAAGTTTCAATTAGCTCAGCAATGCAGAAGCATAAGTGGTAATGTACCTGTGTACCATGCTGTCAGATAGGGTTTAAATCACCAGAACAACTTTTTTTTTCAATTTTTATTTAATTATTTTTACAATTAAATGAATTTATTTAAAAAAAGCTTGGTAAATTTTAAATAATACTTTATATAATTATTTTGTAGTTTAGAAAGTAAAATAATTACTATAATTACATAAATATTTATATTACATTTTATAAATATATTATTATAATATTAATTATTATATTACATTAAATTATATTTATATAATTATTTTATATTTTCAAAGTTACCACCAATGCTACTGCATCCCTGGAGCTAATTGAAATTTAATTGTATAAAAGCTAAGTATAAATTTTGAAAGCTATTTTACCCAAATTGACTGCCTTTTTTTGTGCTATTACATTGAGGGTTGACCGCCCTAACAGAGTACTACTATTACACAAAGTCTCGTACCCAAACGAATTTCCCCTTAGTCGTTCCCTTCCCTTGTAAGATAAAACATGTATGTAAGAAATGTTAAAATTAAGATTAATATTTATACGTTTGATATAAAATGAAATAGCTTGTAAAACATAAAACAAAAAAATAGTGAAATTAGAAAATAATAAAAAATAAATATTAACAATATATTAAAATGATCAAATATACATTTTACATATTAAATCTAAACAATCATTTAAGTTATATAAACATATATAGCTCATAGTTACCTGGCAACCCCATTACTACTTTATCAGATTCATCACCATAATCTATCTCCATTGTAACAAAACCACCAGTAATTGTAGTTAAATTGCATGTTACTATAACAGTTGGTTTTACAACTGGTGGACAGCTAAAAACAACACTTTTGTCTTCAATGCTATCAGCAACTGTCACCTCAGTACTAGCCAGTACTCTATAAGACTGAATCAAAAGAAGATTATTAGAAAACGAACCAAAAAAAACATAAATTGTATTTTATTTTTAAAGGATTTTCAATTAATCACTTCTCTTTTCAAATTAATAGGCATTTTGTTTGATAGAAAATTATAAATAATTCAATAATAACTCTTATTTAACAAATTACATTGACAATTAATAATTTTTATTATCACAATTTTGCACTCTGCAATTAAGCTATTCATATGTGTGTTATAGCATTAAATGAAATATTATTTTATCATACAATTATAAATATACAGAATTGTAACTAACACAACAATTTGTCTTGAAATAAGAGCAATTAGAAATTTATCATAAAAGAATATAAAAAAAAAGCATTGTTTAAGTTTACTTTGAAATATTTTCAAGTGCATTAAATATTCAAGAAAGGAAATGCAAACTCAAGGGATCTTTTCTTTCTTTTTGTAAGTAAATAAATTGAAAGATTAATTAAAAAACATACAGATATATTTTATTTACTAAAAGAATTTAAAGAAACAGGAAATATGAGGTCAATTTTCTTTATATAATTCTCTACTTTTCCTTAATAAATTTTTCTAATATCCTTTAAATAATCAACATTTTTTTTTTTATTTAGAATTTATAAATATCACTGTTGAGTTATAAAATATATTTAACCTGCAACTTAAAATCCTTAACCCACCATTTTAATGATGGTTTTAAATTAATAGTTTAATAATATACAAATAGCTACTTTGATGAATGTATGATTAACTATTCTACACTCCAACCATATACTTGAATTTCAAATTGATGGAATTTTAATTTGAAGTCTATTCCAGAAAAACAGAGTAAAATTTTTCAGATGTGACTCTGTAATTAATAAATATTAATCAAAAGCAAAATTTCCATTCCTACAATTTACCTAAAAGAAATATGAATTTCTAAAAGCACATATTACTATCTACTTCATTACTTATTTTCAAACAAGTAAAATAGGGTTTACAGGTTTAGTTTTAAAAATTCCTCACCTTTTTGCCTCTTTTTATGAAAAATATGAATATAAACATAGATTTAACAAGTAATATAAAAAAAAATTGTGTCAATTCCTACTTAGGTCAACAAAGAAACATTTTATTTTAGTTACTTTTATTAAATAATTACAATTAATATAAATATGTATACATATGACAGAATCACAGTATTAAGTGGCAAAGTAGAAAAAATTTCCTAGCAGTTCTCCATTTTCCTTTCTATATAGGGTGTTGGACTAATATTTTTGTTTGTTACTATTTATTCATTAATTAAATTTAATTATTATAATAAAACAGTATAAAAAAAGAAATCACATTCTCAGAAATTAGTCCATCCCAGGTGGGATTCGAACCCACGACCTTTGGATTAGAAGTCCAATGCACTACAGGGGATACAACAAGTAATTTTTCTTTTTATATATCATGTTGGACTATTATTTTTGTTTGTTACCATTTATTCATTTTTTAATTCAATTGATGAATTAATATTTGAAAAACTGCATTTACATCAAGTGTCATCCACTACAAGTTTTAAAAACTGTATTAGAACTTGAATGGATGAATAGAAAGTATTTTATTAACGATTGAAAATTTGAACAAGATATACATATATATATAAGGGAGAAAGTGTACAAATAGTAGGAATTGGAAAAAAAAAAATCAACTTACTTCTGGAGCCCCAACAGGCTTTGCTGATACTTGAACCCAATATTTTCCTGGTACATAATACTTATGAGCCAAAACATCATGTACATCATTGAATGTTCCAAAACTACCATCTCCATAATCAATAGTAAATTCGACATCTTCTCCTGTCGCATGACTCATAGAAAAAACTACATCTGTGCCAGTCTGGACAACATCGTCAGATGGCTTTACAGAAAGTTCAGTAACTGATATAATAATGTTTGATCGATAAAAGACCAGAAGATCTGGATTAGTACCACATTCTTCTAATGGTGCAATTGGTACTTTTTCAACTGCAAATAGAAATTATGTTGTTAGAACTTAATATGGTTTTTCTAAAAAAAAAATGTCTTAAATCCAACTAAAGCTTTATAATAAAATGAGCAAAAATGTTAACACTAATTATTAGAATATTATCAATTATTTATGTTGAATTTTTAATTGCTAAGAAATAAATTAAAATATTTATTATTCAAACTAATTTTATCAAGGGACATACACAGACTATTTTCATGTATGGGGGGTATATATTTAAAAAATGCAGCTCTGACAGCAGACCTAATCTTTATCTTAAATCAACCCCTTCTTTGTCAGCATCACATGTCATAAGTTCAGTGTTTTTGTGCCCGTTTTGTCGGCATTGTAAGGCATGCAACGCAAAGAAGCATTTTTTCCTTGAAACTGAATTTCGCTACTTACATGTCTTTAATTTCCGTGATATTTTTGTATTTTTGATATTTCTAATAAATGGCTCAACTAGTAGTACTTTCTTAACAATTATCATACTGAGATTTCCTGCCTGGAATCTAACACTAATAAAATCTAATGAATCTCATGATACGTGTTAAAATTTCAAATAAAAAACATTCAAGGTTTTTGATATTTACTATCTAAATTTTGTTGGACAAAGTAAGCAAAAAAATAATGCGTAATACATAATTTGGGTTTTGTGATCAATTTGATTTTTACGCTTTGGCTGTCTAATGAAGATTGTAATGCTGTTTTAACGGTAAGATACTATTTGCCAAAATATTTTTTAAATAAGTTCAAAATATTTTTAAACAACTTTTATTATTTTTTTGTAGATGTTTATTTTTAACACCTAAAAGTAGTAAAATTAAGTATATATATTATCACAGAGTACTTTTTAAAATTTAAAACTAAGGTGCATAGCAAAGAACACTGGAGATAAGTGAACAAAATATCACATATTTTTCCAACTATAAAACAAGTAAAAAACTGCTTACTGATAAAAGATTATTTGCATTTTTCTTTAGAATAGAATATATATTAATTTTAAGCAATAAAAAATAATTTTTTGGTTAGAAATTCATAAAAAAAATTAACAAGAAGGGGTTAAGAATCTGTTGGTCTGGTAGGGGTTTGAACCCCCATACCTAACCCTTGTGAGTACCACTGACTTTACCCATATTAACACATAAGAAACATAAGCAAAGATTTACAACCTTACTACTATTAAAATATGTATACTATATTTCTAAAATTAAAATTGAGCTTCCTGTTAACATCGTAAGTTTTTGAGCAATTTCAATGACTGAAAATTTCATATGATGTCTCAAAAATAATTAATAAAAATTATAACTGATGTGATATAATGTGTGATGATGATGTGTAATACAGAAAACAAAATAATTTGTTTATTTTTACAAAGTAATCATATATTGAATTAGATCATAAAATTCTAAAGTTTCAATGATATTTTCTTCCTTCTGCAATCTCAATTTATATTATGACGCATAATTACTTTTTAATAATAGAAAAATAGATCAAATGACTTTTGAAAAATGTAAGCCATCGGAATATTTTTTTTATTTCGATAAGTGTAGACAAAAAATATAAAATATATAGTAAGTCATAAAATTTATCGAACGCGAAAAGTATTTGTTGTACTTTGGTGAGAAAAAAGATTCAAAAATTGTGTGATGGCCGATCAAATGTATATTCAATACTGATATTAAATTCACAAACATGCTGCCGGTTGATTAATAGATTAACAGTATACGAAGCAACGTAAGCCTTTTACCCTTGAAAACATTCTTTTATTTAAGCTTACAGTCAAATGTTGAATGATCTAACCAATTTTATTTATATATAAGATGCGTATCATTTGGTTTCGAATTTTCGCTCCAAATGAAGTAGAATTTTTTAATGAGGTTACAGTTAAAAGTTCTTACCACGCCCATAGAGGAAAATTACAAATTCTAGTAAAAATAAATACTTTACCCTCTCTCATAACTTTTATTTAAGAATAACTCATTTATTTTCCTTAAAAATACATAAAAAATGTTAAATAAAAATAATGAAAACGTCAGGGCGGGGAAAAGAAAGAGAGTCAGGGAAAAGTTTCAGCCCACTGTGTTTGGTTTCATTGAGTGCAACCACCGAAGGAAAGGAGCGATTAATTTAAAATTATCTTAATACCATAAGTATTTTGCATAATTAATGCAAATCATGAGATTTTTTCATTATTATTATGACGATCATTAACTAACACAATAATAACTGATTATTCTCGGTCTTAATTTGGTACCTTTTCACAAAGGACTAAATGGTTACTTAGTAAAATTGTAATGTCCTTCAATATTTATTAAATGACCCTCATCGAAGGTAAGAACCAAATATATCTACTAAGAGTGATATATTAAATGTTATATAACCCAAATACTGTCGCAACCTATTGGTGAGTAGCGAAAACGTTTCGAAAGTATGTTCAAAGCCCGATTCCACAAAATGTTTGCCATATAACGTAACTAATGTACGTCATAATAGTTAATACTTAAAGTCTTCACGTTAGCGAGATGTGAATGTGGAGATTCTGGAGAGAGCTCATATGTCGACCTCGTCATTTGATTGTTCAGAATTATAAGACGTCTTCGCTGTGAATAGTGAACATGTTTGTCCTACAACAATAGATAGTCGACGACATTTTTGACAAAATAACAGAAGCTTTCATAATTCTTTTAATAATTAAATAAATATAACATCAAAAGAGCAAACTTTTTGAAGAGGTCATTAGAAAAGTGTCATAATTATCATTACAAATTTAAAATATCAGTCGATACACATTTTAATGGTCGCCCCTCCGGTATAGTGGTTTGCGACACTGGGTTTTAATCCCGGAGAAGACATGGATGATTGTAAATGTATAGTGCCTTTGAGGCATGGGGGTACTTTAAATAGCCGTCGAGTCGCAAGTCCTCTCGTGAGGTTGGTGGAAGGAGAAGAGAGGTGGAGGCCCCTGATCCCCCAGGGTGTTCCCCCCTCTAAATTGGGGTGAAACCGAGCTAAATCGTTCTGTCACCTATATGGTGCTCAAAGCTACAGTTAACGACAGGCGTCACCTTAGTCATGATGAATTTCGTGGGCCTTGATCTGGCCTTTGCTGATCAGGTGGAATTAGTAACAACAACATTTTAAATAACGCTAAATATACTAAATATTTCTAATTCTATTTTAAACTAAATATTTCCAATAGAAAAACAAGTCTATTTAATTTAAATATTCTTGATAGATATTTTTTTATTTATTTACCCTAATTGGAAAAATTTATTTTGAAAAATTAATTCTAAGAATATATATTCCTTATTATTACAAAGAAAAAGAAGAAATATTTTCGTAACACTTAACCCTTTAATTGTGAAGTTATTTTGATGATTTGGTGCATAAATTGTCATTTTTTAAAAAATTTCAAAAATCAAATTTTTAGTACAAAATAAAATATACTTATTAGTTAAAAACTGATATTTGAATTACATGCATGGAAAATTTTTTCTGTAGCAACTGCATATTTAAAGGATTTTTTTTTAAAAAAATAAAAAATGAATACCTTTTTTAGTGGTTTGGTAATTCACTCTTTTGGTGGTTTTGTGAGCACAAATTAAATTTCCCGATCTAGATTCGAATTTGACAAAGACATGAAGCCGGCATAAACTTCTCCCGATATGTATTCAGGGTATAATATCATGCACTCAAAATAAAAATCACCTCGTATAATACTCGGGCATGGCATTTTGGAACATTACTGCCGTCCACAAGATAATCTCGGGTATGACGTTAAAAGGCTAAAAAGCATTTAAAAACTTTTTTGATTAATATAAACTGCTTACAATAACACTTAATAATGATTAAAAAAGAAAATTTAATATCTCAAATTTTTTTTTTATATATATATATAAAAATTTCTCACCGAAAGTTTTGCAAAAATTATTATTATTTTGAGTTAGCAAAGTACTGTTTAGAATTCTAACATAAAGACATATACCCTTATCATCTTTGGCGCATAAGCAAAGCTTTTGTCTCAATATGCCTGCATATGGAAGAAAGAAAGATCCACATTTTGCCCGACATTCTACGTCACTCATCACGGAGTTACCGGATCATATCCTCCAGGAGAATAATGGAAAATACTCCGCCCCATTTAAAGAGATGCAGTCTCCATCATCAATAGCAAAAATACCTGAAAGAAAACATAATTAAAAAGTTTTAGAAGAAATAATTGTACCATCTAAAAAAAAAATCATGACAAATAACAAAATAATTATTTTCTGATTAACTAGTTTTCAGTTAATCCTTTTGAATGAAATGAATAAAAATTAAGTGTTGCGTAATTGTTTTGTTGTAACAGTAGCTAATCCTGAGTGGCCCCCAAATCAAAATTCGTTGGGATTATTTTTTAGGTCCCTTAACAATTA